CCCTGTATAGAGATAGAAAGACTACATATCCCCCATCAGAAAGTTGCTTTCAGAATAATGTCCATTTTGTTCCTTTTTTTGTTTTACATATTCCAAAGAACTGTTAACATCTGTCTGTAAAATTTGATCACATGTTTTGGTACAGTGTTCCTTTTATCATCAATCTCAAATTATTTAATCTGAGGCTTTTCTTCTCATCTAATTCTGAATTATATCTTGAGTTTGACAGTTGGGTAATTTTAACGAGCACTAGTATTTAATCCTCTTGCTCTCTAGAGCTTAGTTTGAATGTTGAATGTGGATTAATATTATAGGAATATTAATTCCAACATACAGCCGAACAGGATAATTTTTCAATTAATGTTGATATTTCTGTTTTTTTAATGTCCTGATATAGGCACAATAAAAGATAACATTATCATAATACCCCAATAATAAGAATGTGAAAATAGTATCTCTTCCACCTTTTTTTTTCATCTTCTTATTAATCAACATTGTTGTTGTTAATTGCGAAGTCGTGTCCGACCCATCGCGAGCCCATGGACAATGTTCCTCCAGGTCTTCCTGTCCTCTACCATCTTCTGGAGTCCATTTAAATTCACACTTACTGCTTCAGTGACTCCATTCAGCCATCTCATTCTCTGTCTTCCCCTTCTTCTATTGCCCTCAATCTTTCCCAGCATTAGGCCCTTCTCCAGTGAGTCCTTCCTTCTCATTAGGTGGCCAAAGTATTTGAGTTTAACTTCAGGATCTGGCCTTCTAAAGAGCAGTCGGGGTTGATCTCTTCTAGGACTGACCGGTTTGAACGCCTTGCAGTCCGTCTTCTCCAGCACCATAGCAACATTACAATGTTACAATCTTTGAAATGGTATCCTGGACGCCATGTAATTAAATTCACTGCATTTTGATTGGAGAAAAGATCCTACATCTCAGAAGAGAAATCCATCATGGGATTATTATTTTTCTTCTACTCTTGTTTTTTACTTTTCTTTTCTTTTCTTTTTTTCTTTTCTTTTCTTTTCTTTTCTTTTCTTTTCTTTTCTTTTCTTTTCTTGCTAGCCTCCAAAAATGGGTTTTTCAGGGACAGAGAAATTCTGACATTGGGAAAACTTAAAAGGAATCCTGATCAGATTGCATACATTAGTAGACATAAGAGCAGGGGTGTCAAACTAACGGCTCACAGGTTGGATGCGTCACCTGCAGGCCACGCCCACCCTGGCTTCGCAAAGGCAAAAAACATCACGATATGTCACGTGACACGATCGAGTTTGACACCCGTGCCTGAGAGACATTACTGACTTCCCTGCCTCTATCACATCTGCATGGAAGAGGCCAACATTATTTTTCCATACTATGAGCTATTTCCTTCCCCAAGGTTTTAGAACCAGGAAGCTGACTCTAGATTATGATATACAGATGGTCCTTGACTTTAAAACAGTTCATTTAGCGACTGTTCAAAATTGCAACGGCACTGAAAAAAGTGACTTATGATAGTTTTTTATACTTAAGATCATTGCAACATCCCCATGGTCACGTGAACAAAGTTCAGATGCTTGGCAACTGGTTCCTATTTATCACACTTGTGGTGTCCTGGGGTCACGTGATCACCTTTTGTGACCTTCTGACAAACAAAGTCAATGGGGCAGCCAGATTCACTTAACAACCATTTTCCTAACTTAGCAACAGCCACGATTCACTTAGCAAATGTGGCAAGAAAGGTCGTAAAATGGGGCAAAATTTAATTAACTGATGTCTCAGCCACAGATATTTTGGGCTCAATTGTGGTCGTAAGTCAAGGACTATCTGTAACGGGAACAATTTGCAAACAGTTAATCAGACCAGTCTCAGGATGGGCTTTAGAGCTTTGGTATGTCAAAAGAGCATAACCTCATCAATCGATTAACATGCTTTTTTTCTGGATTTCTTTCAACTAATAGATCTTGATGAAGTGGATTGGGTATCTGAGGAAATAAATATCACAGCCTGTGTACTTGACCCTTACCTCTTGATGCTGATTAAAGCAAACACCATTTTGACCCCATGGCTAAGCAGGATAAATAATGCCTCTTTTTAGAAAGGATGTTTTTCCCAAGGGAAATCCTAAAGGAGGCGATAATAGGATCTTTATCAAAGAAGACTTCTCTTGACCTGACTGACCTCTAAAATTTTATGCCTATCTCAGATGTTTCATTTTGGGGAAGGGTGATTGAGCAGGCAGTAGCCTAATAGCTCCTGGCACATAGAATGATACTGATTTTCTGATTTCCTTTGGACTTTCAACCTGAAAATGGCTTTGAAACTGTTTTATCAACTTGATGGATGATCTGTGCTGGAAACTAGGCAGGGGAAATATAGCCATTTTAATTCTCCTGGACCTCTCACTTCTGGATAACCTGCTGGAACTAGGACTGTCACTATTTTAAAATAGCTTTGATGCTTCTTGTCAGATCTCTTAACATTCTCTCACCTACTTTCAGCTGTCCATCATGGATGCTTCTCCTTAAGCCATTATGAAGAAGTCACATTGCTATAACCAATTCATCAGAGATGTGCAACATGTTGAGGGTTGGTAACAGCCTGTCAAGTTTTGGGAATATGTTGGTGACTCCTAGTGGCTGTGGGAAAGGGGAAGCAAATATATCCAAAGAAAAACTACATTCTTTAAAATCCTGTCCATGGTACTGTTCCTCCCTATCCCTCTGTTTCCTCCTCCATCATATTCAGCCTTAAATTATTAACATTTAATTTTAGCCTATCAAGATTCCTTAGGACAAATGGCAGTAAACATAAAAATGTCTGTCAAAAAAAAAACCCCTATCTTAATCCTAGCTTAGGATATTGCAGCATTACAGATTTGCTTGATGTTAATTGGTTAAAACAGGAAAAAATAGTAGAAAGAAAATACATGTGGATTTTAATCAAATTTTTAATGTTTTTATGAATCACCCTAATCTTCCAGTTTTGTTATGTTAATGGCAGTATTTTCTTTTTCTTTTTAAAATCTTAATTCAAAAGTTCTGTGTTAATTTTCTTGTAGGTTTTTTTTCCTGCCCTTTAGTAAGGCATATTATTTCATGATTGTTCAGAAAAGCCAATTTACTTACTAGAAAATGTCAATATACAGTTAAAATATTTTCAGCTCAAAAATATCCCCTAAACAAGCAGAACAACCAAGAAAGAAGGAAAAGAATACACCCCCAGACCCAGCCCAAATCCACCCACTGCAATATGAAGACAACTTCATTGAAGATCATGGAAGATAACCTAGCAAAGAGGAAGCAAATTTCATTATATAACAGTTAAATTGATATTAATATTGTGATATACTATTTCTGTTTGTATTTTGATTCTTTCTTTGTGCTTGTTTTTTCATGCATTGACGTTCAAGGATCATCCAAACTTTGAAACTTATCTTTAAAACTCTGTTTATGGAAGATTTGGATAGATGCTGAGATTTTTATATTTGGTCAATTGTTGAATGATAGCAATTTTTACTCATTTCCTACCTTAAAGGATAAATATAATTTGTCTTTTGCCACCTACTGACAGTGTTTATAATTACAACATTTATTGAGATCTCAGTTTGGGTTAATGCAGTGTTTCTCAACCTTGACAATTTTAAGGCATGTGGACTTCAACTCCCAGAATTCCACAGCCAGCATTGCTGGCTGTGGAATTCTGGGAGTTGAAGTCCATATGCCTTAAAATTGTCAAGGTTGAGAAACACTGGGTTAATGGAACATTCAGCTTCAGAAATGCCTAAATCAGACATTATTATCAAACCTTGTGGGACTAAAAAAAACACCTAAGCTTAATCTTTATGAATACCGTTGTTTATAAATCAATTTGATGTACAAATTTTAAAGACTGGAATAAGGAATTAAAAATCCTTGTTTTGTCTAAACAGTGGGAGATGGTCTAAATTTCTGCTTCAAAAATTTCAACCAATCTTAGATTTGGCTTTTTAAACAACAACAAGAATAACTATTTTGTCCAGTACATTGTGTCCAAGTTCAGGCATCAAGACAAGCTGTAGACAATCTGAAATAGAAGTGAATGGACAATTTTTTCAGCAGTGCCAGAGAATAAACAATTTTTTCAGCAGTGCCAGAGAATAAAAAAGGAGGAGAACATGAAAGTTTAAGATCTGCTTGATTTTTCCTTCTCCCTCTCCCTCTCCCACTCCCTCTCCTTCTCCCTCTCCTTTCCCTCTCCTCCCCTTTCCCCTTCCTCTTCCACTTCCCCTCCCCTCCTCTTCCTTTTCCCAATTTCTAACTGTGTATATGAGAAGACCTCTGTTGCATCCTGAGCTCAAATCACTATGAGACTCAGAATAAAATGGCATAGTAGATATTTAAAAACCATGAGATAACAGTTTTCAAAGTTATATTGGTTTGTTTATTGGAGCCTAATTCATTATAACTTAAGATGGGCAGACTGGATCTGAAGGGATAATGTGCCTATAGCACCGACCAACAATTCCTGAAATCCAACACATTGTTTCTTAGGATCCCAGGGCAGCTATGGAGGGCAGTTAAACTCTTCCAGGAAAATAAAATTGTTGTAAAGAGTTTTTGGTGGGTGCTTCATAAACACCCCTGCATGCTCTGAACCTCTATATTCTCCCCTTGGATCTGATGCCCTGAACAGCCCTAATATAAATCATACAGAAACAGAGTTTACTTAAAAAAAAAAAGACTGGCAATGAGACAAGCAAAATGTCACAGGGCTTTGGCTGGCTCTCTTTAAAAATCCAATGAAATCCCCCACCCCAAACTCCTGCAGATTTCTTCAGTTATAGCTTTTAGCCATAACCTTTTAAAATTTGCAAAACTTTGTTGAGAGGCCACCTGGCATTTTTAATAAATAGTGAATATAAGATGTTTGATCCCTCTCTGAGTGTTGCCCTTCTCCTCAACACTTTTCTACCCTTTAAGCTCAATGTGTGCTAGTGACAATCTTTCTTGGATTCACCACAATGGTTATTTCTCTTCATTCAGGGAAGACAAACTATGTCGTGGAAGAGAATCAAGGACTAGATGAGAACGGAAAGTTCTTTCTGCCTGGGCTTATACCCCTCTCGCCAGACCGTCTCACGATGTCAAAGAAGGGTGCCAGCTTTCGAGCTAAAGGAGAAAAACCGGATGCTTTAGCCACCTTGCAAGCTGCTAATGAAGAGCTCAGGGCAAAGCTCACAGATATTCAAATTGAACTTCAGCAAGAAAAGAGTAAGGTGTGCATCTTTCCCATTCCCATTCCCAGCAAAATGAAAGTTGTCGAGCTATTTACTTCTTGCTCTCATAAGTAAACTTGCATGTGAAAAATAAGATAAGAGATGATAGATAGATAGATAGATAGATAGATAGATAGATAGATAGATAGATAGATAAGATAACCTTTTTTGTCACTTTTTTCTGTGAACACACTGGCACACATTAAAAAAATTAAATTCTGATGCCCACTCTCAAAGAATACACACATACACACATATACACAAACACACAATTCTGGACTTCTGGTGGATCTGCGCGCGCGATGGCGGCTACTTTGTAGCCGTCCTCCTGGGAAAGTGTTAGAACTGCTATGAACAGCAGACATCAGCTGTTCTGCAGTTCAAAATCTCCTTCCCGGGCAAAGGGAGGGAGAAGAGTATCATCTGAATAGTGGTAGAGCCTCTTATGCACTCCCAAGGTTTTCTTTTGGGGGGTGAAAAGAGTGCTCCCACGGAGTTCAGATTGTCTCCGCTTCCCAGCTGTTTTTGTCTCTAGGGACAAAACAAGCCGCTGCAACCACCTCCGTGATTAAAGTGACCTGGTGAATTTTTTAAAAAAAGCGGACAGAGCTGAATAGAGGATTTTGTTTTTTCCGATTTTATTTGGATTTTAAATTTAAAGATTTACTTTTATTCCCTCTTTTTGTTTTCTTCTTTTGTTGAAAGGGAAAGCAAAATGGCGATCGGTAGGTTTTTTGGTGTTTTTTTTTTAAACAATTGGAACGGAATGGAATGGATTTGATTATTTATAATGATTTTTTGATGTTGGGTTTGGATTTTAGGAGGGTTATTTTCCCTTTCTGTTTAATTTTTTTTTATCTTTTGGAGGATTTTTTTTTGTTTTTTGTATTTCTAAAAAACAACGGAACGGATTTCTTTTATTTAATTTTTTTTCTTTCCTTTTCCTTCTTTTTTTTAATTTTTTTTTTATTATAATGATCTCCTTTTGAAGGATTTTTTGATTTTTTGGAGTCAATCTCCCTTCTTTTTTTCTTTTCCTTTTTTTTTTTTGCTTAACTTTTCTTTCCCTCTTTTTTCTGGATAATTTTTAAGAAGGAGTAAAGATTCTCTAAGATGGCTCCAAAGCGTCCAGTAATTCCTACAGCTCCTAAGGTGGTTTCTTCTTTGGCGATATCATCAGTGCAACAATCTAAATCAATAGCTTCACCCTCTCCTTTGGCACAGTTATTAACGGTAAAGGATTTGCAAGACATAATGGGAAATGCTATATCTCAAATCAGGGGTGAAGTGAAAGAGATTTTACTGGAAAATAATAGGATTCTGAGGCAAGATATAGTTTTGGCTTTAAAAGGATTTGCCTCTGTTCTTGAAAAGTTGAACTTTTGTGTAGAAGAGGTTGAAGACAAAGTGGAGCTCTTGGACGGAAAATTTGAAGGTATGGAAAAAGAGATGGAAAATTTTCAAGATGAGATTCTTATGCTTCAATATAGAGAAATGGAATATGCTTTAAGAATTAGAGGCTTGAAAGAGTCTCTGCAAGGAGATCTGAGAGAGATGGTTGCAAATGACTTTGCTGTGATTCTGGACAGAGAAAAAGAGGAAATATTTAGTGAAATTGAAAAAACATTTAGAGTTAACTCTGTAGTGGCAAAGCAAAAAAACCTGCCAAGAGATGTGGTTATTTATTTTGGGAAAAGATCCCTGCGCAATGAAATTATACAAGCTTTTTACAACAAGAGGTTTCAGATTGCTTCACAAGACGTTATAATTTTAAAGGAGACCCCATCTAAAATTTTAAGAAGAAGAAAGGAGTTTGCTTTTTTAGCAGATGAACTTAAAAAGAGGCGAATGTTGTTCAGATGGGACGTTCCGACTGGAATGGTGGTGAACTATCTGGGGATACGTTATAGACTTAATACTGTTTTCAAAGCAAAAGAGTTTTACACTTCAGTCCTGGGGGTATGTTCATCGCCACTTATTATGTCTAAAATTTTGGAAGAAAAGAAGGTAGAATCGCAGTCTGAAGAGCCTATATTGATGAAAATTGGGAAATTTCAGACTGAGGGGTCTCAACAAGTTGAGATGAAGGAGCAGAGGATAACCTGTGTAACATATGAACGTAAAGAAAAGGAGCAACAGAAGAAGGATGTTAAGGAAGCCTCACAAGTATTTGTTTCCGAGCCAGTGGGAGAAGCAAGATCTACAAACTTTTTGGAGCAACCTTTAAGGGCAGATTTCCAAGCACTTCTCTCGAGGTTCTTGGATAAGAGAGATTGATTAAGAATGTATAGATTGTTTTTAGGTTATTGATAGATTACAGTTCACTGTGGATGGAATTGGTTATTGGTAAAGAGGAGAGAAGATTATGGAGAGTGAATGAAAATTTTAGATAAGAAGTTTAACTTTAGTAATTTAAGGAGTATTCAAAAGAGTATTTTGTTTTAATGGTATAACTAACGTTTATATGTTTATTTTTGTGTTTGATGATAAAGAAAGAGGGATAGACTAGATTTTATATAATATAAGTATGATATTATGTTTAACTTTAGTAATTTAAGGAGTATTCAAAAGAGTATTTTGTTTTAATGGTATAACTAACGTTTATATGTTTATTTTTGTGTTTGATGATAAAGAAAGAGGGATAGATTAGATTTTATATAATATAAGTATGATATTATGGAGATTGAATGAAAATTTTAGATAGGTAGTGTATGTTTAGATATCTAAGGAGCATTTAAAGGAATATTTTGTTTTAAATATGTATAAGGGAACTTTAATGTTATAAGTAATGTTTATATGTGTGTTTTTGAGGGTGTTTATAAAGAATGATGGATAAACTTTAAATAATATAAGTATGACATTAGAAAATGTTTAGTTTTTTTCTGAATAATTTATAAAGAGGAGAGAAGATTATGGAGATTGAATGAAAATTCTAGATAAGAAGTTTAAGTTTAATAATTTAAGGAGTATTTAAAAGAATATTCTGTTTTAATGGTATAATTAATGTTTATATGTGTATTTTTGAGTTTGATGACAAAGAAAGAGGGATAGATTTTATATAATATAAGTATGATATTATGGAGATTGAATGAAAATTTTAGATAGGTAGTGTATGTTTAGATATAATTTTTTTTGTTTTTTATATATTGGTCTTAAAGTATTTTATAATTTGTTTAATTATTGTAATTAATTGCTTATGGTTTACATGTGTTTAAAATTTTTTCTTTTAAGTTTTAATTAAGCCTGTATTCAGCTCTGGGAAGGTTGGGGGAGGGTTGGGGTGGGTTGGGAGGGTTTGGGGAGGGGAATTTTTTTTTCTTCTGTAAAATTTCAAAAAACTTTCAATAAAAAAAAATTAAATTCTGATGCCCACTCTCAAAAGAATACACACACACACACACATATACACACACACACATGCTATACATATACATATGCTATACACGCACAGAGAAGGCAACAAAAAAACCCGATCAATACTGCACACTCTAATTAAGCAGCGCTTAGATGCTATGTCCTGGATAGAAGGAAATGAACTTCCAATGATCTTTTCTGCTGTCCTCACCACTCTCTGCATAGGCTTCCTGTCCGAAGCAGTAATACTTCCAAAACAAATAGTAATACAATATGACAGGATGCTTTCAGTTGTCCCTCTATATAAAATGGCAAGAATAGGAGAAGGAAGATGTTCTCTTCCCGTATGATGCAGAAAATGAGATATTGCTGTGCCTATTTCACCAGTGTCTCACTGTTGAATGACCAAGCTAACCTGCTCATCAGCTGCACACCCAGACACTTAACACTACTAACCACCTCCACAGATGAATTGTTAATACACAGAGGCAGTGGTGGGATTCAGCCAATTCACACCACTTCGGCAGAACCAGTAGCTAATTTTTTATTGCCCAGGCCCAGAATGGACTTTCAGAAGTGGCATCCACACAGAGCACCGGTTATTCACATATTTGAATCCCACCACTGCACAGAGGTGTATGACTGTACTTACCTTTTTTGAAATTGACAATGATCTCTTTTGTTCTTCCTACATTTAAAACCAGGCTGTTTTTATTATACCAATTCATCAAACCCTCTACCTCCTCCCAGTAGTCACTCTTATTAGCATCCTGAATAAGGCCCACTAAATAGACATTGTTTTGTAATAGGATATAGCATAAGACTCCAATTGCAGAAAGATGTGGTGAACTTTAAACAAAGTATTATTCTTCAATATTACTCTGGAGGAATGAAGTCTGAAGATTGATTTGGAGCCATTCTTTATAGAATGTGCATTTTGATCAATTATTCAGAGCACTCTCTAATTGGTCCCCTTTGGAGGCAAAAGTAGCTGCATTGTCAGCATGTACTGTACATCAAGAAGTAGAACTGCCAGGATGGTCTTGGAAAGGGGGGCAAAGAGATAAATCCTTTCACAGAAGATATCTGATTTGCTAATTTGGCAATTTCTATAGGGAAAAAAAATCAAGCTATGGTTATGGGGCAAGGTGAAGCATGAAGTATGCATTCGCTCTTAGACTAGTCAACCAAATCTGAAGATGTATTTTGTCAAATATTTGTTTTCTGTACAAACTGAGTGTTTTTGTGAAATTTCCGTATCTCTCTGTCCCCACTTTAGCTAGGTTGGGTCACAGCTTCTTCCAGTTTCTTCGCCACAATGTATGACCACTCCAAGCTTTATTCCAAAACAGAATGAGAAAATAACATAATAACATGATGCAGCAATTAAAGAATATTCAAGAATTTTACCGTATTTTCTGTTTGCATGACTTGCCAAAAGAAATAATTTTTGCAGAGGTTCACAGTTTACTGAACAGTTTTGGTGTAAGTTATTCCAATTCACTGGACTAGGGCTTCACTTGTCCGCTACACATTGCCTCATTTAGAAGGGTAAATAAAGCATACCAGGGCCATGCTAGAACACCCATTCTTGGCAGGTTGTCCTCATTTTTTTTAACATCCTTCACAGCAGACTTCCCTTTTATAAAACTATGGTACCATACTTACTTTTTGCTGGATTTCACACCTATGTGTCCACATTAGTTCAGTTATAACTTCCTGCTCTATATGTGTATATATGCATGTGTAAGTTCATGTGTACATATAGTACTACATTGATTGGGAGATACATGTAGTTCCTATGTGCCAAGAGTTTCTTTTGGGGGGGGGGGATGTGCCAATAGGATGGTTGACAGAAGATCCTGTCAGGAATACCAATGATCAGGAGTTGATTTCCAGTTTCCATAAACCATGAATGTAGGGTACATGGAATCCAAGGAATCTGAGTTGTAGTTGTACAACTAGTTGTAGGTCTGTTGAGCTTCAATTAACTCTGAATGGGAAATAATGGATTCTCTGCTGGAATAACTTCTTCAACAGTCTACTTTGAAACTTGGGGGCATGCCTGCAATACAAATTCCTGGTCCTTGGGATGAACTTAACAACCACTGCTTGTTAGGGTTTGGACTGTAGGAATGGCCCCTTGTTACACAGAAGAAAACTAAACCTGATTTAGACCTTCCTAGACTAAACTAAATAAAAAAATGCTAGAGAAGCTTGGCAATTAGATGAATCAGCCATCAATAAACATATAGAGATAAACCACATTTACACACCATTCCAAAGAGAATAAAAAAAGGTGTGAAGGAAATGAAAAGACCAGAATACATCCTGTCCGGCAATCAACATCCAAATAAGCAGGGATTAACACTAGATAAAAAACCAAGCAGAAAACAATATCCACAGGATTTCCAAGGAGAAAACCACATCCCCACCAACACTGGCCAGGCAAGCTACTCTATATAAACAGGAAGCAAAGCCTACACTTATGCACAGTGAGAGTGCTACCTAGTCAGGTAATGAAATATCTGCAAGCCAAATAGAGAGCACCAAGAACTCCACACTTCACTGTGAGCTATATATAGATGTAGCGCACAGAGTCACTTCATGGTAAGATGGGCAGCAAATAAATCAAATAAAAAAACCTGATTTACTTTATGAGAACTCCTTTTTTAAATTTTTAAATCCTTCAATCTGTTGGGGTAATTGTGCTTGTGATAATAAAGCTAATGGTAAGGTTCCAGAAAATCTGGATTATATATTTCTATTGGAGAAAAGTTTTTAACACAGCAAGTTGTCATCTGTCCTATAGTAACCTTTCTTTGGCTGAGGTTTGTAATAATAGTACTATCTGTTGTTCAAAAACTGAGACACAAACCTTCCTATCGGGGAAGACATGGCCAAGAACCCTAACATGCTTAAAATAATCTTTTGGATCCCAGATAATATAAATCAGGGGTGTCAAACTGCCAGCCCGCGTCATGCAAAAACCGCGCCCACCCCATTGCTGGCAATGGAAAAAAAGTCACAATACGTCGTGACACGTCAAGTGACATCGCAAGTTTGACACCCATGATCTAAATCAGTCTTTCACAAAGGTAGGAGGACATTTCCCATAAATTTTTGAAATTGTAATCCAATCCATCTAGAGAATGTGCGATCAAGAAAAGCCACTAATAGTTACCATTTTTAACTATACCTGAAAAAAATCCTAAATATTTTAGTGAAGAATATACTTGAGCTGCCACCTAAACAACCCAATTCATATTTAAGAATTAGATACTACTTCTTGAGGGAAGAACCCTGTAGAATTAAAAGCATCTAGGTCAGGGGTAGGCAACCTTGGCTCTTTTATGACTTGTGGACTTCAACTCCCAAAATTTCTGAGCCAGCATGGCTCAGCTTGGAAACCTCTCCCTTTCCCTTCAGCATGGCTGGCTCAGGAATTCTGGGAGTTGAAATCCACGAGTCATAAAAGAGCCAAGGTTGCCTACCCCTGATCTAGGTGCTTTGCAATTCACATATATTATCCTACTATTTCCTACTATTCCTGTGCAAGTTCATCTTAAAATTTAAAGCATCATCCTGTCCAGCTGTAACAGTGATGTGGATTAAATGAAAGCTATTTCAGTATACAGTATTGATTATATTGGACGTTGCTATAGCTGGCAACATAATCAGCTTGCATAGCAAACCAAGTTGTCACTAATGAAAAATAAGCCATCTGTTAGGGTTAGGATGTTGTTAATACCAGCAGCAGACAAGCAGTTATAGACCAATGTTCTGCAATTATGCATATTTTTCTAACTTCTAATTAGGAGATTTAATGTTACTCCAAATTCTTGTGCAAATTATATTTTGAATAACTCAGCAGTATTGTAATATTAAATTCCTGCTTGCAACAGTTTCATTTCTAACAGAACACTACTAAAAGATCATTTGTATGTTATTTAAAAGCATGGTTCAAGCAAGTCATATTTTCATCTCTGGCACTGTTTACTAACTGATGAGAAAGCTCAGAATTGTTCCACATGAAATGAAATCAGTTTCTGATACTGGAAAATAGGAAAGTACATGAATTTCTGATATTAGAGGAATCCACAATCAGCTCATTATGGGATCTTCCAGGAAGGGCAAAAGTCCACAAGATACACCAGTCCTGTTATACACTGCTACATTGATTTGGAATTTTATCATATATAGAATTCACACACAATTTTTTTTTCTCTGACTGCTTGCCATTGGAGGAATTTCCAATAGAAAAAAAAATAGGAGGCTTTGATGTCAAAACTCTGAAAAAGGACTTAGGGTGGCCCACCAACACAAGTTTCTTTTGATCTTTTTTGAACTGAGGGATTATCACTCAGCCAATTTATTCATAAGAATTTTCTGTAATACATGGAATAATACGTATAATTCTGTGGTAAGATGCTGTTATAACATGCTGAAGGTTCTTTTCTTTTAGGCCAGCAAATTGGAGAGGGAGAAAAATCAAGAAGCTCGGCAGATTAAAGAACACGAACAGCATAAAAACACAGTCATTGTAACGGAACTCAAGGCTAAACTTCACGAAGAAAAAATGAAAGAGCTCCAAGGTGTTCGCGAAGGACTTTTAAGACAGCACGAGGCTGAGCTTCTTAGAGTTATCAAAATTAAAGATAATGAAATTCAAAGACTCCAGACTTTGCTTAACGCTGTACGAGACGGGACCCCTGACAAGGTTAAGACAGTGCTCTACTCTGAAGCAAAAGAAGAGGCCAAGAAAGGATTTGAAGTGGAGAAAATTAAAATGCAGCAGGAAATTTCAGAACTGAAGGTGGCTAAGAAACAAGTGGAGGAAGCTTTATCTGTAGTCATTCAAGCCGACAAAATAAAAGCGGCAGAGATACGGAGCATTTATCACCTACATCAAGAAGAAATCGCCCGGATAAAGAGAGACTGCGATCGGGAAATTCGCAGGCTGGTATGCAGTTTTCCATCATTTTGATGATTTTAATAAGGGGGGAAGTGAATGTTCTTTCCATGTTGTTTACCCTAAAATAATTTAATACAGATGGCCAAGCATCCTCCTTTTAGACAGTTAATCTAGATAGATTCTTCAGATCTTTATCCAATACTAATGAAAAGCTCATTAAATGTGGTTATCTCTGCAATAGATGCTCTGTGACCTTTTGTCACAGGCTGTAGCTGGCTGAAAGATTTGATTCTGGTTGTCGATTGTTTTGTTGCCATGTCATCTGTTCCAAATATAATTTATTTCATCTGGGTTATGAGCTTCACACAAAAATGGGTTAGTATTCTGCAAAAGTTGGACTTCCTTTCTAACTTTCCAAACTTGAAAAACAGGCATGTGATATTATTGTAAGGATATATTTTTTTGCAGTTCTTGTATTATGTATTGATTATGTAAATCAGGACATTTCCTTTTCAGTCTCTTGGGTGTGCAGATTTTAAATTTACCTGGGTAAATTATTGGTTGCTTTATTGTTCTTATCATGGAGTAATAGAAGTGGAGTGAAGTATCTAAATATATATGGTGGGGAAAGTGTTTCAACTCTGGCTTGAGCATATTTGCTTTATTGTCAGAGGTTTCTAAAAGGAGCATTGCTGAGAGTAGATCTGGACATAAATTATTATTTTATACTGTCTCTGTTTTTCATAATTATTTTCTGCATTAGTGTATTCTTTAGCATGAATCTAGACAGCCTAAAATGTAGAAAAAGCAATGTACAAGGAAGAAAACAAAGAAAAAGCTATGTTCTATCCCATTACTGTTTTTTCACCCCTTCTCTTCATAATCATTATTATCAGGATGAAGTAGGGAGGATATCCAAGAAATGTCCACAATACATCTTGGTAGCATCTTATCCTGGGATCTACATTGTGAAGAAAGAAACTGTGACAATGAAAGTTTTCTACTTCAGAACTTTGCCTGTTACTAATATGCTACCTCTGTTTCATCTGATATTGCCTGTTTTAGAATGCTGGAAGAAGGCTATTTAAAACTGTAGTTGTATCTTTCAAGATAGCAGAAAAATGTACTGATCAATATTATGATGTAGTTTTAATGAATTGTAGTGGCTGGGATGTAAAGTCAGTAGGATCACCTCCTCAACAAATGATAATGCTGTTCTCATCAGCACCAAAGAAGCAGAAACAGTGTCTGGGTCATCTGTATAATTTATCCAATTTCTATACTGCCCATCACATTTGCATGACTCTAAGCAGTTTACAAATGAAAACAATCCATAATTTGTACTTGTAATGCTTCATTTTGTTAAGGTAGGTAAAAACGAAAGCCTCCTTCAGGTGAGAATCAGCTCCTGATGACTACAAGGTCATATATTGTTTTTTTCGAAGTGGCACAGAAGAGGTTTGCCATTGTCTTCTTTAAAAATATGTCCTCCCCCCCTCAATTTTAGGATATATCTCTGGGAAATACTTGGAATCTTCCATCAATTATTATGTCAGAAAGCCTTGCTTGGCTTTTCAAAATTAACCTGATAAGGTGTTGTCACCTGATATAGAGCAGAGTTCACTTCAATTTGTTCTTTGACAAATATGACAATCTCCTAGTTTGGGTATGGGACATTGTGTCCCTATATCATCTGTTTTTTTCCCAAATATTTCATCTTTTCCCAAACAAATTGCAGATCTGCCATTGATTTCATAAAGTAATTATAAATTAAAAATGTCTCCATGTGCAATTACACAACTAGTTATATGTTTCAGGATAAGTATGAGATTAGAGAAGTTTGGAAATTCTAAAGTGAGAACTTAGCTCTTATTATACAGTATTATTGAATCTATCCCATGTAACAGTCTTTTGCCTGGTAGTGAAACTGTCAGATTGGCCCCAATCTGTTCCCTAGGAAACAATGCCCCTTGACTCTATAGGTGTTAGAGAAAAGGTAATTTTACTAGAGAGGTTGAGTGCAGCGTGAACGAGGCAAGCTCTGAAGAAAAACAGCACAAAAATCATATATTGAAAGCAATCCCCAATGTCCAAAACCCTCCCCCTGGAAGAGCAGTCCAATCAGGTCTTGTTGCAATGTTTGGGAATACAGTACCTCCGGCGCCATAGAAAATTCCTTTCCCAGAGCCAGTGTCCTTCAAGGCAGAAAGATGACTCGGTTTAGCTCCTCTGGTTCCTCTCAGCGTCCATACTCCCCAATTTCCCAAAAGATTCTTTCACACTCTTTCCCTCCCAAGTGACCCTCCCCCTGATTATGGCAGTTGCTAGCGAGCTTCAAAGAAGATGAAGATAGGCAGCTGACAGGAATAAAACATATATTTTTTGTAGCTTATAACTGTTTAAGGCCCAAAGTTCCATATACAAAATATCTCTATCAGGAAAAACATCATTCTTTAATTTCAAAGCTATCAGTTCTGTGATGGTCTCCTGATAAGAATTTTAATTCAGAAACTTTATAAAGTTCAGAAACTTTAATGGTGTGTTGAAATCTCTCTTCTCCAATGCTTTTTCCCTTTTTTTGATTAGTTTTCTTTTTGCCCTCAACCTGCTTGAGAATTTCTTTTGAAGTCTTCTTTTAGAGTAGCAGAAACAAAAATGTGCTTTGTTTTGAACATGAAACAAGCATTTTGTGGTATGTGGGAATTACCTTGGGAGACAGGAGAAAGAGCTGCAGCCTAAGAGGGGTCATTCAAAAGGTATCTCAGCCCAGAGAAGCAGAAAGGTAGTAGGAAGAGTTTTAAAAACACCCTTCCTATTTTTCTGGAAAATAAGGGAGGGGAAAAATACTTTCAAACTTGCAATATTCTGTTACTGTAATGTTTCAGTAAAGTTTTGTGCTTCTTGTCTGGACAACTTCAAAGGGCTGACACTGTCAGTTTGCTAAACCCTTCTGGGAGGACTGCAATTCAGCAGAACAGAACCTAGAATATTTTGGATATCCTGAGTTTCAGAGGAGTTTGAAAGATATGTAAAGCCAAACTGAAAGCCTCCTCCTCCTCCTCCTCTTCCTGTCTGCCCATCAATCTTCCCAGTACCTTTCCCAAGCTTCCAATAGGAAAGATTGAAGGGCTCAGATTGGAAAAGGGATTGGTTATGTTATGTTTGAAGTTGAGGCAGCTAAGGGGTAGGGAGTATGGGAAGAGGGGGAATGAGTTGGTTGGATATGTAGCAGGAATGGTGCAGTGACTCCTGCAATTTGAAGGGGGTTGGACTTGATGACTTCTAAGGTCTTTTCAACTCTATGATTCTATAATATTGGGCAATTAAAGCTACAAAAAAGGTCCTTGGGGTTTTTTTTCCCTCTAAGACATCTCTGCCTAGAAGTACAAGTTTCATATGAATGTTTTATGCGTGAAATATTTTGCACACCCCTGTCTCTCATTCTGTCAGAAATGGTGAAGGTTCTCCTGATAACTTTGCTCTTTTCTTTATAGAGACTTCCCTAACTCTCTGAGAGTCCATCCTTCCGATCTGAAAATAGCACAATGGGAAGAATCCCTTAACTGAAGCCCAGGAAAGCCGAAAAGCTGGTCACTTTTTTTATCCTTGGCCATCTTGTAACTAAGCAAGCACAAAACCTCTGCACTCAAGGGAATTTCACTAATACTTTCATCTGAAAAAAGAATTTAAAAGACAATTCTCTTTAATGAGAACTGATAAGGAAAATTATTCGGTCCCATCAGTTTTTTGTGGCTATAGATATTCCCATCAGGCAAATTTAGGAAAATGGTAAGGGCCAACAAAAAGTGTTACAGCTAATATTCTCCTGGAAAAATGCAGCTATTTTATCTAAAATGTTAGATAAAATATTAGTTTACTAATCAGGCAAGTGGGTGACATTTTAATGTTTATATTAATGACCCCATTCAGTCATAAACCTTGAATTGCTTGCATCTATGAAAATTGTACAGAGAAAAAAGTTTGATTGTATGCTGATATATTTTGGCATTTTAGATAATGCCACAGAAAAAAATCAGGGAAGCAAATCATATGATGCAGTAATTATTTATAATGTTTTCTCTTTCTCATATCATCCAGAGACCGCATATTAATCAGCTTGCTACTGAATTATTATAGATTCATTAAATCATAAAACATATGATTGAACAAAATATTAAAGAGGTAGGGGATCACCGGGAATTTTCTATCTAACTATAATTGATCAAAACATTTTTTTCTGCTGGATTTAATAGAATTTAAAATAATTTCTTTACATTCTGTTTAGAACCACAATGAATACATACTTTTTGATCACTCCTTTAATGCAGTTGTCAAATATGTGCTAATTTATCAAAGCTCTTGAGCTCATTCTAGTTTCCATATTCTGGATAAAAGTTCATACTATGCATAATACATTTGGGAAAAAAATACAAAAGAAATTATGACTATGAAGATATTTCCTCTTCATTTAATACCACATACAGTCATATCACATGCGTCATCCTATTTCTGTTGCTTCTTTCATCCACACAGCACCTAGACACAAACTAGGAATTGATTAAAACAAAAAATAAAAAATAAAAATCACAAAAAAATACTTGTCCTTCAGAAGAGATCCATTTATTTTCAGTTATTTATTGCAAATATTAAGTGAAGCATTAGGTAAATGGCTTGTATTTCTGATTTTTCGCACAATTATTTATTCTTTCACAGGCCACTGCTGAAGCCACCCTATTGTCTCCTTAATTTTCTTTTTCCTGATCAAAAGCAGCATTAGATTGATCTGCCATTATTCTAGGGCATTAGGTCAAAAATTTAAGGAGCAAAATTCACCTATGTCCACTAAGGAATCTGCCATGCAAGAAAATCACCAGAGGAAATTTGTGAAATGACAGGTTTGATTGAACTGTGCAATTTGAGTCCCATATGATTAAACTTTATTGGGAGCATGGGAAGATTGTATGCTATCATTTGGTGCTTCAATATCAGGAGAAAAAATTGATATGTCAGGTGTTGTGGTTCCGGCTAATGAAACACTTCAAAGATTC